GCTGCGGGAAATATAGATTTTTTTTTACAATCCTTAACTTCTAGTCCCAAAAGTTATGTGCACCTACAATCTCCTCTTCCTTGCCGCTCTTTTATTTTTCTAACTAGCACAGCTAGTGTTAGCACTTTGCTGAGATCAAACACCCACCAACCCAGGCAGTGCAGTGCAGATGTGCTGATCCAAATTGCAAAATATTGCATTACAGTTTGTTCTTACAGTGCTGAAACAGTACAATACCTGGCAGTTCACCATCTTTCTGTTGTCATGGAGATTCAAACAAGACGATAACTTTGAGGACATAAATTTAACTTAACACCCAATATAACATAAATAAAAACAGATGCAAGCACAAAGAGATAGTCACCTGTCAGTGGTGCAATTAATGCAATGTGATTTAAATTATCTGCAACTGGGGACTTGTTACAATACTGTGGCTACCATTGAAGTGATGTGATATTGTTCCATCCAGCTGTGGCTTATGGAGAGGAGAGAATTAGGGACATCTGCTGCTTATTTTAAAGATTATCAGTTGATATAACAGGCACTGGTTGATATTCCTTTCTTAAATTTTATTTCTCAATAAAACGCTGAACAATAAAAACAAATGTATACATTCTGAGCTCCTAGTGTTTATAGATGCACTGTATTTTTCAAACAGACTTATCTTTAATGGTGTTTGAACCTGGAGAGACTCACAAGGAGAAAAGGATGCAATTAGAGAATTTATTGACATAAATTAATATTCATTTATTTGCGCTCAGGAAATAGAGCTGAGCATTGCAGATGATGATAGAATGGGCACCTATATGAGACTGGAGATCTCTTACACCTTGTCCCACTGGTGGAGGAATGGATGATGAAGGAGAAAGGAATTGAATGGAGTAGGAGGTAGACCTGGGTGGTGAAGGGGGCAGAGAGGGGGTTGCATCTCGGCTGGAAGACACACACACTTGACCATGATGAGTTTTTTTTTTTTTTTTTTTTTAAGAGTCTTGGATGCCAATAGCTGCTTAGGAGGCTTAGAGAACAGAAATTTGGCAGAGGTAGATCAGGAGGATGTGGCATTGTTGTAGTTTAAGGTAAATTTTATTTCTATTTTATTTTATTTTGAATATTGTCCTAAACACCTTGTGTATCATTAAGATTGTGTTTGTGTTGGCACGTGTGACTACCTGCTTTTATCGTGTTTATCTTTCATTTATTTTATTCTGCTTTTACCATCCTTCTTTTTAATTGTTTAATTCCTGTAAAGCACTTTGAATGTTCTTTCTGCAGAATTGTGCTATTGAAATAAACTTGACTTGCCATCACAGCACCATAAAATAGAAAAACTTTAAATATATTTCAAATCAACATGCTGTCTTGACTAAAGACAAAAATCCTTTTAGTCTGACTTTTAAAGCACTTATAGAGAACAACAATTTTATTTGAAAGGAGGAAAAATGTATTTTCATTACCTAGAGTCGAGCTTTGGATCCTTTAAGTCTAAGAGGTATACTTATAGGAAATCCATTGAGGAAGAAATTTTGTGAAAGTCTTACATGCCATAGCATTGCTTTACTATATAAGTCGTGATAAATTCAAATTGGATCCTCAATGACATTTACGGAGACAGGAAAACTATTTTTTCTGAGAACACTTGTCAGTCTGATGGATGAAATTTCTTTAAAACAGAACTGCAACTGTCAGCTACATCAAGTTCAGACAAGCCCTCTATTTTGGGATTTTCAGTGGCACAGGACAGACATTAGGACAACACAGAACGGCTATTATAACTCAGTTATTTACCTTTTTACACAGTTTTGCATGTTCTCTTTCCTCTGCCTCTCCCCCAATGCTGCCCGCATTGTAATATCAGTCTAATTTGCATCTGTGAGGATTCTAGCACTTTTTCGAAGTGATCAGTTTCCTCTGGGTGGAGACAACTGAGGTATGTGCATCTGTGTGTGAATCAGAGGGTGTCTCCAACACAAAGAGCAACAGCAAAAGACAGAACTGGAGAGATGAGACCGTTGGGAATGAAAAGAAAAAGAAGAATCGCACAAGAGGATTTAATGAACAAATGAATTTTTCCGTTTAACCAACAGCCTGGTGAGTGTCAAGTTACATAAAAGAGAGGAACGTTTGATAGAGTGGTTGCAACTTTAAATACAGCTGTTGGTATAAATCTAATAATGTAGTGTAACAGTCATCTACTGGATCTCTTCCTCTGTCATTAAATGTTTTAGTAAATGTGTATACTTTTGTATTTCAGCATTTACCGTTTTAAAACAGCTGAGTGAAAAGTACTCATTCTTAAGTTAAAATATGATACCTGTGTAAAAATGACTCTAGAAACTAGAAAAGTAAAATAAATGAATTGCCTTAAATTGTAATTCTTAATAAGGCTTTGCTATACACAGCAAATTGATTGTTTCCCTATTTTGCCCACTGTGTCTGTAAAAGAGAACAGGGGAACTGCAGACTTAATCTATATCAAAATTGCAGACAATATAATATAGATTGAACTGCATAAGCAGTTAAATACGTTTAGGTTCTCGCAGCTGTAAGACAGCTATATGCAAAACAATGATGGCTTCTCATTTTTTCAGGAAAGCAAGGAGCTGCTGCTCAGAGAGCCAAATTCAGAATTACTCAGATGTAAATGAGTCAAGCACAAAAAGATAGATAAATTAGATAGATTTCATTTCTTTATGCAACAAGGTCCAAATGTGCCTAGTAAAATGAATCCTGCTTTGTACACCTTTGATTTCCTTGTTTATTTATTCCAGCTCTCAGGCTGAAATAGTAAAATTAAACATAAATCTTTTGCTATTACAGATTTTCACAAGATCAAGAAGTCACATCTGCTCCCATTGAATCTATTTACTCAAGTCATTTGTCAGTTGCAGACATTGAGCTGTTTTTGATGTATGGGGCGATATACTGGTAACAGTGGTAAGCAGTCCAAAGGGGATGTGACTCAGCAGGGAACATGGTTGAGGGGAATATTCATGAAATACCACTTATTAAATATTATAAATTGAATAGAATCACAGAAGTGTTAGTGTGTGTCATCCTGGTTATTGGTCGAATCTTTAATTTACCCCATGATTATTCATATGCCTTGCAGGTTTGAATTTAAAGCTCTGTCTCCATCTGTCTCAGTTTTTGTGTCTTTGGGGAAGACGCTTCACCCTCATCGTCTGCTGTTGGCGGTTAGAGACTCTGGTGGTGCTGATGTATGGCAGCCTAGCTTCTATCAGTTTTCCACAGGGAAGCTGTGGCTATAGTGCAGCTTACCACCATCAGCGTTCGAATATGTTTTGAGGTCCTGCTATATAAGGCCAATTTGCATTTAAAAGATATAGCTATGCATTTTTAATCAAAACTATAGTTTTTTAAGTGATATATCCACAGAACATATAGAGTGGTACATATAATAAGTCTAGATTTTACTGAAGATAATAAAATAGTATGCAAACAATTAATTTATGATTGTCGACAGATTTAAAATATATAAATACTTAATTCTGGTTATGATGCAAACATCAACACCAAAGGACTGAACCAATAGGAATAGTAGACAAAGCTTTAGTGTGCTGGTGTTAATTTAAGGAAGCAAAGGGGCTCAGAAGGCTTGCAGAGGTTGACACTTATTTTCTAGTTGGTTAAGTAAATAATTGGTTTGGTTAGCATTAGCAGACCTTGCAATTTCCTGGCAAACAATACACAGGAGTGGCAGAGCCAGAGTTCACCAGTTGCTGGCTGGGAGGAGTTAAACTTATAGATATCACCTTCAGTTATTTCCTTTTATCCAAGAAGCTTGTTTGCAATAGAAAATCTGTCATCTTATTGAAACAAAGCATTTTAAAGAAAAAGCATGCTGTTTCCTTTTTTTATATAAAAAGACTAAGCTGTAAAACCACATTTATACCCTCATTGATAATCACTGGAACAGCTTTAGTGGCATTGCAGCACTGGGAAACGTTCAATAACTACTGTTCATCTTTTTTATGTCCCTCTTTCAACTGGAATTTAATCATTTAGCTTTGGTAATAATTTCAAAATCTTTTAGGTAAAAAAAAAAAAGACTGTTCTCATCTGTGAATGCAATGTCTAAACAGGTTAAACGGGATAGAATCTACTTGCTACCGGCTGGCCAGTGACCTCAGTCACAACAAAGATGGCCACCAATGATAAGGACACATTGACAGGGATGCTCAGCTGTCTGCCAAACTCCACAACAGAAACTCATTCAGCATGATGAGCATATTCAGTGGCCATCTAATTTTCAACCTTACAAATGTGTAAATTATGTTTGACTTTTGTTTTAAGGTGAAAGCGGCTGAAACCTCACTGTTCAGTTAGTAAGTTGCAACAGAAAATGACACTTATTGTTCTCTTGTTAAACCTGATCATTTCAACTTATCGAGATTATTTTCTATGAAAATAATCAACTCTGTTTAAAGTGAATTCATATGAACATTAATCAATTTCCTGGAAATTAAATGGCTGACATCATTTCCAGAGGTCTGACAAAAATACACACTCTGACTAACTCATCTCTAGAGGCTCTGGCTTAAAACCAATCTTCCTGAGAACATTACTGGAACCAGCTGTCTGCTCAACGATAAAATACATTTTTCCTTCTAGATAGACCCACAATAATAAATCATAAGGATAAAATGTGATAAATGAAGCACTGGGTGCCACCTAAACTTCAACCAAACTGTGGCAGAGATTTTAAGAGATTTTCATTCAATCAATCAGGTTAAGGTTAAGGCACTTTAAATTGAGCTCAGTCAGTCATCATTTGCTTGCTGTCGGCTTCAAACATTACACCAATTTTAATATATATATTTGCACATTGGCCCTTTGAAAGGCCCTTAACCCCTGATTGGTCCCCTGGTGCCGCACAGTGGCAGCCCCTGCTCCCCAAGGGGATGTAGAGAAACATTTATCCAGTGTGAGATCAATTAAGTTCAATTAGTAAGGATTTTTGACTTGTTAGGTAAAAAATGACTATTTACATAAATACACGACTGAAGAAAATAAAAGGGATAATACATACTGTAGACTTTGACCATGGCATGTTAACACATCCAACGTGTTATTCCCTTTCTACTTGCCATATTTGTTGCTCAATAGATGGAATGTGGATAAACAACATTTACAGGCTTTAACACGATGCAAGTGTCAAATTCAGGAAACAAACACAAAAGACCGTAAGTGATTTATAAATGACTTAATATATATATTTATATATATATATATATATTATTTTTAGATTGAAATCCTTTAAGTAAAATGCTTTTCTGTGTTCTATTGCAAACAGCTGTTAAATCTGTTGGTTAAAGAGCTAAAGAAGGCCTTCAGTCTCCTCCAATGGTAATCTAACCCTCACTGACTGTTGTTGAAAACAAGTCAGAGCAGAACACTGAATGGTTCTGCTTCAAATAATACTGTTGCTAACAGCTGCAGGATTTGTTTGCTTATTTAAGATCTTTTAATGTCTGCTTAATTAGACTAATAAATTTTGTTTTCCTTTTTTATGATAGCTATGAAGGGTTTTAATATGTCATTAGAATTACAAACAGAGTATGGTATGAACACTATTTGTTTAGAAAAAGCTTACTATGTTTTACAAGCATTACTCGTTTATCTAATCAGCTCTTTCTGAGGCTGTTAATCCTAAAACAAATTGCTGCAGCAATTTAGAACATGGTTCTCTCATTTACAGGGCATTGAACTGGAAACCAATGAGATTTTTTTAAGCTATCTTAACTCAAGTCAGAAGAAAGATTTTGGTTTGAATTATTGTTTTTACTTTAACTTAATTTTACTTCTGACAGAAATAAAAGGTAATGTTTTTCGATGCTCCAGTAGCACTCCCAACATGGATCTAATAGAGAATCTTTGGCAGGGGCTAAAGATAAGGGAGGCTATCAACCTTCAAAGATCATAAAATACCAGTTGGAACATAGATAAAGCTGGGTGTGATCGTTAGACTGTTAAAATTGTAATGAAATACTTATTGTTATGTAAACTTATTGTTTGTAAATTACCACAATATGTGGATTTTTTAAAATATATTTTGGTTTCATTAAAAGGTCAAAGTGATCAGTGATACAGAGCATTTTATATGACGTATTGGTAATATTTAAACAAAGCTAGCCATTGATGTAGTTCATTACTTTTTAATAATACTACACTGAAAACATTTTTATATTGGCCGATCCTACCATTTGTATAGTAATCTTTTTGGAACTGGCTCAACGGGAAAATGTTAATTGGGGTTAATTGAACACAGGAAAAAGTTAAGTACCTCAAATAACATTTTCCTGATGAGCCAATTATAATATTCACATGTAAAAGATTACTATACAAATTTAAGGTTAAGCCAATGTTTACATTTTTCATTGTATAAAATATTTTAATATGTTATTAATAAATCTCACTTTCTTATGCCTATTTGTTTTTTTCAGCCCTCTGACATTCAACATGGTTTCAAACTCCAGTGTCTCTGAGGAGCCCTTCTGCCCACTGCTCCAACTGATGAGAGAAGACAACTCCAACAACAACACACGGGTCAATCTGGTTGTTGTTTGCATCCATGGCATTTTCTCCTGTCTGGGGATTTTAGAAAATGCCCTGATCATTTGGGTTTTGGGTTTTCGCCTCAGGCGTCGGACCGTGGCTTCCGTCTGGATGCTCAACCTGGCCATGTCTGATTTCCTGGCCACCCTGACTCTCCCACTCTTCACCTTCTACCTTAACTCCCGCCACAGCTGGGAGATTGGACTTCCACTCTGTATAGCGCAATCTTCCATCTTTTTCCTCAACATGTTTGTTTCAGCCTTTTTGCTGGCAGCCATTTCCCTGGACCGCCTGCTCCTTGTGGCCAAGCCAGTGTGGAGTCAGAATCACAGGTCGGTGGCAGGAGCTTGGAAGGTGTGTGCATTGGGCTGGCTGTGGGCAGCATTAAATACTCTGCCTTACTCTGTGTTTCGTTCAGTGATTCCGAAGACTGATGGGAGAAATTTATGCTATCATAATTTTGCTTTGTTTTTATCCACTGAAGACTCATTGGAGACAGACTGCAAAGTGAGGCAGGAGGCAACAGCTATTTCCAAGTTACTGTTAGCATTCCTGCTCCCTCTAGTGGTGATTGTAGGGAGCTACATCAAGATAGCACTCAGGCTCAGAAGCAGAGAAAGGAGACGAAAGCAAAGTACCTGCAGACTGACTGATACAGTGACTTTGCCAGCCTGCGATGGACATCCACAAATGTTTAAAACCAACGGCATCAAACCTTTGAACACTGGTTTAACATTTAAGTCAAATTTAAACAGCTTGTCCCCTGTCATCCCCAGTCCATCATTTCAGAGCCAGCTTTCTCCGAGTTTTACAAAAATGGTAACGTCTGTGATTGCAGTGTTTGGACTGTGCTGGGCTCCATATCACATCTTTTGTATCTTAGAACTGAAAGCCCAGGAAAACATAAAAATTCTCAAACTGGTTGAAATTGGCCTTCCCCTGACAGCAACGTTAGCATTTTTGAATCCAGTTTTGAACCCTGTTCTGTATGTCTTCAGCTGCCCCCACTTTTGTGTGAGAATAAGACAGAGTCTGGGGGCGGTGTTTGATGGACTTGTGGAGGAGGGAGGGGGGTTACTGATGGCTCCAGCCAAGAGCTTGCGAGCTCACATCAGGAGGAGGAGTAGTCGAGATGTGAGCTTTGCAACACCGGGGTCACCAAAGTCTTCAACTCCTTCCAGTCACTCTCCCGGCGCCCAGCCGTTCCTGCCATTAAATCTGCTGTCTCAAGGCCTTAGAGACAGGCAAACAGAACAAGAGTTGAAAAACGGTGCATCACAGGGTTCTTTCTAAATTGTATTTAATTATGTGCATAATCCCATGACTCTCATTAAGGCTGAATTCTGTTTTGCCCATTGGCTTTTGTATTTACCTCTCAAGTAGGTGTAAGTTATCTTAGAGGTATAGTGTAGGATGTTCTTTTTCCAGGTGGATCATCAAAATAAGTGGTCCTCCTAATCCCCATTTTCACTTACCGGTGGTGAGTCTGACATAGTGAAAAATTGCAAATCTTCTTTTGGAGAGTAAGCCTTTATTAGCGATGCAAACAGCGACTTTTAAACAGAGCGTGCACAAGGAGTAATGGGCTTGTCCATGCTCTCACATATGTTTAATAGGCGTTCCCTCTTGGGAGCAGGTGTAGAGTTATGCATGTGCATTTGTTTTTAATTGGAGAGGGTAAGTCTTTTCAAAAATTCACGAAGATCCTCCACTATAGCTTTAATGAGAAGAGCATCCAAATTATTTCTAAATTAAAAAATAAATCATTCAGCCTTTAAAAGCAAGACCTTTTTAGGGATTCTGTACGACTTTTTTTTTTCTTTTCTTGGTTGACGTGTTTTAGTTGTTTCATAATGGCCATCAGATCCTCTGGAGATGATTTCACAGACAGAATTCCTCATAAAATGAAGAGCATTGTGGACAACAGGGTGTCTTTGGTGAAACATTTTCCCATATCTGGTGCAAGACACACTTTGACAGAAGATCTTCCTTGGCTAGAAATATCAACATATATAACAACTCCTTGAAGAAAGGCCGAGTTACTTTAACATGTAATTTTCCTTCACGAATAATAAAGTATTTTTTTTATTTAAATCAATTTAATTGCATTGTTTAGTTGTACTTTTCGTAAAGTAAGCATAAAGAATAACATTTCAATTTTAAATGTTATAAAATCTTTAGCCGTTATCCTCTTATAACTGTTATCCTATTGCAATATAGGAAAGCCTTTTTGTATGTGTATGTTCTCCTGAATAAAGAAAGGCCTTTAATTTGATTTAGGAAAAAATAGTAAGCTATAATAATTATAACTTCATCTGCTGGGTTTGTTAAAGTGCTTCAAATGTGATAATGCGTTTTTATTCAAGTTGCATCAATTGGCATTAGTGGTATATCCACACCACCTGCATTGCATGATATTTGACGTGATTTTGTGACTGCTGTCTTCTTGTTAAGATGTGTTGATTGAAGCATTCAATTTGATTTATCGGAAACCAATCTCAGTTCTTAAAACTGCTCAAAAGACTAATTTAATGTACGCTGCTGGATCTTCTTTTCAGCAATTATCGATACTAGAACTGTTAAAGTGGTCTTTCAAACCCAACTAAGTATTATCCGTCTAAAACTTACCGTAAAGCAAGATGAAGCGATGGTAAGTGAAAGTATACTACAGAAAGTGTCAAGTCATCTTGTTGATATTTTTATTTGATATATATTTTTCTACCACTTTGTTGTACTTTCTTCTCTATGTTTCTATATAATGAATAATAAACCACAGCCCAAAAACAAATAATTTTATGAGTATGTGATAATTACTGAAAAAGCCTACATAGAAAAAAAAAATTCTACTTCGTTTTATTCTTAATAGGTCAACAACTGGATATTTGTCTGTTTGAATTCAGCATGTAATGCCTCCTGAAGAAAAAAAAAACTTAATGTAAGCAGATTAAACTGGGATTAAGCAGTTTAATCTGTCTACATTGTTCAAGTTTCCACCACAAACTTCAATGATTTTCCTAAAAACAGATATGAGAGTTCAGATCATAATGGGGATTCATATTAGAGCGCTAAAGGGAAACTGATAAGTAAAGGTATTTGACTTTTGATCAATTAAGTCGCTGTCTTTCCTTGTTAAATTTGACCTGTGAGTGCTGCGGTTATTTAGCTAATTTTGAAAGGCTTGGGGTCCAAGGGGTGTGACTGTTCGCAGTTTTCATGGGTTTGAATTTAGGTGGGGCCAAAACTGACAAAACCACCATTTCCAAATCATGACAAGGACAACACTGGGAAGCAGTTATTATTTTAATCTTATTTTTTTTCTTTTTAAATTTTAATAGCAGTGTTGATTTACTGCAGTGCAACAGCTGGAAAAAAAAAGTCAGGGGAATAGTTAGAGGGGTGCTGAAAGATAAGGGGTGCCCAGGAAGAATGGTTTAGGAACCACTGCCTTAAGAATTAGTTCTCAGATTTCAACATTTTAACAAGTTTACAAAACATAATGATCTTGACATTAGATTTTTCAGGGGTGTATCTTTAATGATATAACTCGCTGACCTTTACTGTATGTGGATTTAAAGCTACAGTGTGTAATAATTACAGGGATATACAGTCAGAAATGTAATATATTATACATAACTGTTATTTATCATCATCTACAGTGTTTGGTGTGTCTTTGAAACTTGAATTTATCATTTACTACCCATGAAGTTAAATGCTGTGTAAATTACAGGGCTGATGCATTTAAAGCTACAGTGTGTAATTTTGGGAACCACTGCTTTAAGAGGTTGATGATTAATCTTAAACTTGCTTAAAGGGGCCCTAAAAATTAATTCCTCTATAAAGCAGGGTCAAAGAACTTTAAAAAAAAACTTTACAAATATTTTATTAATTTAGTGTAGTGTTAATCTTTAGTGCGAATTTAGTTTGTTATTGAGTAGGTAGGATGCTGTTTCAGGATCAACAAGAATGGTGAATGTAAAACAGACATAACAATGAATTGGAGACACACAGCTTTAAGTTAATACAGCAGTTTTTAATCAAATTAAAAAGCATGGCACATAAACTGCCACGTGTTTATGTCCATATATTCCCAAATCAGTTACCATTCATTTTGAGAATCTGCAAACTTCTTCAAAACCTTACTACAAAAACAGATACCAAAAAGCAAAGCCACACAGGCATTGATAGAGTTGTTGCAGGAAAACCAGCTGAACGAATAATTGAGTGGTAGCATGTGCCCACATTGCCAACCTCATCCACAGCAACAATCTCTACGATCTGTGAACAGCATGAGGCGTTGTAGTACGCATTGACAACGGAAGCATCAAGAGTAGTATGGGTAAAGGTCCCATTCCCTTGATTCAAGGAAACACTCTTTATCCCAGAGCCGTTTCCATCAGTGAGATTGGCTGAGAGCTCCCATCGGAAAGGTCCACACTGCGAGACATCTTTCGGGCAATTATCTGCCAACACACTCATCTCACACTTTGGTGGAATAAAATCTGTGATCTGGGCAAAAATACAGAGTAATATGATTACAATCCGTCATTTTACTTTTGCCTTTATTAATTAGATTGTTAATTTTATTTTTTTTTATTTTCAAAAAAGATAAAACAAATGCTATGTTCAGATGAGCCAATAACACTTTAATTGATGGTAGGTGTTAAAAGAGACTAGCATTAAATGAAAAGTTCCTCAACAAAGTTTCGTATGTATACTTTAACCACCAATCAAGCCTTTTCATTTGTAATCTTTTTCATTTTTGTATTTCAATTAAATTGTGTTTGATAAACACCACATAAGCTTTACAAAAGAATTGGGAATAGAGTTTTTCAACTTCACAAACATCTAATCAGCATTGCAAATATAAATCAGAATAAAAACCTGTTTAATATTCTTTCATACAGATTATAATGAATGTATTATTTTACCTTAGTAATAACAGACAACCTCAGAACAGCATAATTGGAGTCAACACCACTCTCAGACTTGGCTTCAATAGTCAGAGTGACATCAGTGCCTGACTCTGTGTCGGAAGATGGTGTAATAGTCAGTGTAGAGTTAACATACTGGCCAGTTGACAAGCTGAGGCTGTTGAGAGATGAGAAAAAAAATCGGGGGAGATGAGAAAAGTTTAAAAATGTCAGCCTTGTGGTTAGAGCAGTGTGCTTGTGCTCTGAGAAGGTTGCAAGTACCGGTTCGATCCCCACAGCCTGCACTCTGGGTCCCTGAGTAAGACTATTGAAGTGAATTTTTCCATTGTAAGATTAATAATGTTCAATTATATATTCACCTTTTTCAACAAGTTACTTGCCAATTTTTCCGTAGCACTCTCCAGCCTTGTGGAAGTGTACAATTTTGCCTCTTCTGTCTTTGGACAGCTCTTTGGTCTTGGCCTTGTTCATAGTTGGATTCTTACAGATTGCATGGGGTGGACAGGTGTCTTTATGCAACTAACAACCTCAAACAGGTGCATCTAATTAAGGATAATAAATGAAGTGGAGGTGGACATCTTGAAGGCAATCTAACCGGTCTTTGATAGAAAGGGGGTTCACATACGTATTTGCAGCTGTATTACACAAATAAACATTAAAAAAATCAGATATTCATATATTGTGTTTTCTGGATTTTTGTTTTCTCTCACAATGGACATGCACCTACAAGGACAATTTCAGACCCTCCATGATTTTGAGATAGGGGAAATAGCAAAATAGCAGGGTTTTCAAGTATTTATTTTCCTCACTGTAAATATTTTACATAGATGTCACCTTAAACCTAATGTTTAAGTATTCTACAGCAGCATTTGACAATAAACTATAATAGTTTTTACCAACCTGTTTGGGTAGGTCATTGGAAAGTCTCTGTCATTCCGGGCGTTGATGGTGTATTTACCCCCAGCACCCATGCTCATTATACTGAAGGGAAGTTTAAAGGCTTCTCCTGGCTCAGCACTTCTGTCCACTGCAGCCTTGAAAAAGCAAGATGGGGAAAGGGCAAGGATGACCATTTTTATTGTTTTACACCTGTAAATTTTTCAAAGTTTGTATGACACTATGTAAACAATGGAACATTCTTTCAGTTTTAAAAAACTGGCATTTTGGTGGTCCTATGTAAACTCTTTTTTTTAAAGACATGGAAATATCCTCAGAAACCCCTGGGATTACCCTTCTGGGCCCTGAGCATAACTGCTTTAAAGCATTTCAACAGAACTTCCACTTAGGTTAAAGTTAAATAAATAGAGGGCGATATTTTATTTTCAGGGTGAATCATCAAAATAAGTTTTCCTCCTAATTGTAAATCATTCTGGTGATATATTAATGTGCACGTCCCGACAGCTATATTTTTCCGGCATACACATTTATCTGTGGTGAGCTATGGTTTCAGCCAGTCATTTAAGCTCACCTTTCTCACTGCGATTCTTTAAAAATGGCTGAGGGTCGAAAGAGAAAATGTGGCTCTGTTCGAAAACCTAGGACGGGTCCTCCAAGGACGCGGTCTACCTAGACTGGATCCTTCGAAGTCCTTGAAAATAAGGAGACCGGAAGAGTTTTGGCTGTAAATTCGACCAGGTCTACCCTTTGGCGGGTTTTACCGCTGTATGCTCTGTTGCTTAGCAACCGTGAATGTTGACACACAAAGCAGGAAAAGAATGAATACAGAAGTTTTCAAAACTGTTTATTTATTTATTTTTTATTGTGAGGTGAACAAAGACTACACTCACAAGAATCCAGAGTGGAATAAATGTTCCAACAGCCGGGAGCAGAAACAAATAAAATCAAATGTAATGATAGAAACCTTAGTCAGTTAAATAACATGCTGCTGTCATTCTGCACATCTCTGATGTTGCTGCTATTTTCAAATATCCATTACTGTAAAAATGTCCATAGCTGCATATTGGTTATTTATTCCCCAGTTTTATATTGTTAAAACACGTTACAGTATTTTATTGTTTATATTTTAACTCTTCCCTATTATGTTATTCTTATACATTTTTCTAAGGTCCACATTTGTGTGACCACTTTCAATAATCTTTCTGCTGCTGTAAATTTTCCCATTGTGGGAAAATAAAGGGATTTTCTATTCTATTCTATAAAAGGGGTAGAAAGATATAAGTAAATCTAAACAATATATTTACAAAAAATATATTGCAAAATCTCTAATATTCAACAACAAAAAATACAAAGTTAAGCATATTGTGCAAAATAGCAATAAAAAGATAAAAATCCTATCAGATTTATAGTCCCCACCCTGCAAATATATTAGTATCTGTCCTTAAATTACAGCCAAACCCATTTACACAGTAACAGATTAAAACCTTTAGATAAACCAAACATTACCGCCACATATATGACTCAGTAACCATTAAAACAACTATTTTCATTCATTTCAGACGGAACTATTCACAGAGTTGTATTATATTAAACTGAACTTCCAATTTTCACCACTGTTCGGCGCCAAGTAACCTTTCCTCTGATCACAGCTTGCTTGGTCTCGCAATGAATCCTGGGATATCCAAGAATACCGAGGATACATCGGACCCGTCCTTCAAATCGAGCAAAAAGAAGGACGCATTTTAAGGCCGCATAACGAGGACTCTTGGAATCCAACCAGACCTCAGCGCCGCGCTATGACGTAATCGGCCTTCGAATCCGGTCTTCTAAGGATGCGTCCTAGGTTTTCGAACAGAGCCTGTGTCTACTAAGTGTATGAGAAGAAAAGAAAGGGCTCAGAAGAGGCAAATATTTCCCAGAATGCTTTGCGCAGGGAGCTCTCCTCGCAAAGCATTATGGGATTTGTTGTTGCTACCCGACAGAGGCAACTGATAACAACGCAGTGAAGGAGGAGTTAGTTGAGCAATGGAGCAAAAACTAGTGATCATCTGTCTGAACGGTCAGTTAACTGAGTTTGCTATATAGTCCACCATATATTTCCCACTCTATGTGGTGATTGAGGGATTTAGCGGTTAGAGCAGATCCAGAATCTGGATTTAAATTTTCTCTTTATTTATGTCATTATTAAAACAGATGTAGTTAGAGGATATAAAGAGATACTACATGGACAGACCTGGATTATGACTTTGGAGACAGACATCTGGGTGGTTGACTGTCTCTGAAATTTAGTGTTGGACAATTTGTCTGTTCCTTTCAGAAAGAGCACAAACTCCCCCTCAGGAACAGCATCAACTGTGACCAGGAAGTCTCCATTGCCCATGTCCGTCATTGCACCATTGGTTACTGCCTCTGAACTGGACAATGTTATTAAGCCAGCCTCTTCAACAGTGATTGATGACGGACCTTTTCTTCCTATTACTGATAGCATCAGTGTGGCAGGTTGGCCTATTTTTTGTATTGAAAAGAAAGTTGTTTTAGTCTTGTTTTTCAACTGTGCATGTATTTACAAATGTATTTCATAAAAAAACATTGTGAAATATTGTGCAATATAGAAATATGGTGGTAAAACTGTACTGTATACCTTCTTGCGGTCGCCCACTGAGTACTGCGTAGCCTGAGTGAGGTCCAGTGAACTTTTCCACAAAGTCATAGACAAAGGTAATTGTGCTCTGGCCTGAATAAAACAACCAAACCATTAAGAACACACCAACAACATATGTGCCCCCGCTGCAAACACTGCAGCATACACATACATACTCTACCTAAATGCATTTTCTGAAGAGCAACTATCTACATGCATGTTTCAGACTAGAGGAAGTCATAGTAACCAAGAACATGCAAAGTCCATATTGATAGGTCCTGGGTGGGATTCTAACAGTGTTTGAAACACAGGTGGAACAGGTAAATGAGGAACATAACTGTTCTCTCAAATCTACTAAAAGTACATAATTCTATGTCAATCTGAGACCCACATTGCCCTACTAGAAAATATCTGACCTGTGACTTTGAGTGTGTATGGCTGACTGGATTTGATTTCAATCTTCCAGGTTCCTGACTGTGTGTCAGCATTTAGACGGATTCTCCACAGGTTTCCCACAGTCTGGATGGTTCCCAGTTTACCACTAGTTTCACTGTTACTCTGGGTAGCCCCTGTAAATATAGATATTGCATCATTAGAAAGCATTATTACTCACAGAGAAAATCAGGAATTCTTTCAATATTATCTGCAATTCTATTTAAAATTGTATGTTACCAGCAGGATTAGTCAGTGTAAAAGTTAGGGATGTTCCTGTGATATAGATAGTTATGTTTTTCAGGGATTGATCCAGCAAATAGGGGAACGTTTCTTGCCCCCCAGCAATCCTAGCTCTTTGAAGAACTGTTACCTGATGGAAATTTAGATTAATCATCTCATAGATTCCTCAAACCACATCTTTCACCTGCAGTCTAATGCATGTAAGTGCTCTTACCAGGGCAGAAGTTGAAGTGTCAAGAACAATATCTGTAGCCTGAGGGAGTTCTGACTTAGACACCCTGATTGCCTGGCCTCCAGATGCCAAAGCCAAGTCCTTATAGTCTTCAAAGGAAGCAGCTGCTAAAGAACGTCGCTTCCTGCTTCCTGTCGCAGTCATAAAGAATGAAACCTAAGAAAGAGTTCATGCAGATACGTGAAACTAGAACCTCAACTTCCCTAATTTATAAAGACTTTTTATGCTTTGGTCACAGCTTTTCTATGTTTACCACAGATTTGGTGCTTCTCATGAGAGCAACAATTGTGTCTTTGAGAGCAATGTCTTTGGCTATTGCATCAGTGAAAACATAGATGTTAGATGAGGAAGGAGCTCCTGTGAGGGCCAGCTACAAAGCAAAAAATCTAATGTTAGGATTCACAGTGCCGTTATCATCATTATTTCCAGTTGAAATTAAAATGGTCATAATTAGTTACTGTACCTGCAGTCCAGACAGACACATCTCTGGGGTATCTCCACCACCTTGTGCTCTGAGCTTTGAGATCTCTGTTTTCATTTTATTAGGATCAGTTGTCCTTATCATTGGTCCAAAATCTAAACATATATGGAAAATTGGGTTTAAACATAAAGAATAACCAATAATCTATTTGATTAAACTCTAAATATAGTAATATATATAACGGCTTTTACCTGGGTCATTAAAGGGCACGAGTATGTATTCAGATGGTTCATCCTGTGTTCCCTTTTTGCTGTCAATGAGGTCATAAACAACTGACCTAGCTTCTTCAATGTCATCTGACATACTGCCAGTGGTGTCAATAACAAAGCACACTACTGATGAGCGAGCGATTCCCATCATTCTATGAGAAAACACAAGCAATAATGTTTTTAATTGAAGAATGTACCTCATGGCAGTTATGTGCAATGATCAGGTATTATGGCCATCTTTTGCTGCCAAAACAACTTTAAATAGCTAAGGTACGAACTCATCAAGAAGTCTAAAAGGAAAACTTTGATATTAGACTCTAAGATGTTAATAGCCAACCCTTTGAGTCTCTTAAGTTGCATGCTGAATGACCAGACTCAGAAATTTTTGATTGCCTTTAAATGAGGTAAACAGGAAGTCAAAATTCCAGCTACTTCATGCCTAACCCTGGAATTTACCATAACTATTTCCAGTATATTCCCAACCCTATGTCATAAACTTGAAACTTTGGACCCAATATTTAAAGCAGACAGATCTGGATTAGTTCAAACAAGTTCTTTATTCGTCATCTGGTCCTAAATAGCCTATTTAGGACCTTGTTTGGTATGTCATGTTTGTTTACCTTTTTAAAATTATTATTTTCTTTATTTAAAATGGGTAACAAGTTACACATCTATGAAGTTCTCAGTATGACAGGTCATGGTCAAGTTTGAAAAGTTCAGTTTAGGCAACTGGATGCAAACTTTTAGAAGACTTCATGTCCGGTTACCTAAACTCGTCTTTTCAAGCAAGTTACACTTACTGACAAATATACAAATGTTGTGTTACCATCTTTTATGAGGCCTTTTCATTAACTTCCATTCATTTGTATGGCATAACCCAGACTTGAACCATTACCAAGATATCTTTAACCATGAACTAAACTTGATTGCCACCTTACATCTAAACCTAGTTCCAAACCCAAGGGAAGAAATTTTCCTCATAGAGACCAGTTGATTGGTTCTCACAAGTACTTTTAAGTCTGTATATTTATCAATATAAAGACACACGCACATGTCATGTCACACTATACGTGTGGGGACATTCCATTAACTTCCAATCATTTCCCACTCATTTCTATGGCCTAACCTAGAACCTTCCCCTACCCCTAACCATTACCAACACTTACCTAACCCAAAATCTAACCTGACCTCAATTCACACCTTCGTCCTTAACCTAACCCCAACCTTAAGAAGACCACCTTTCCTCATGGGGAGCAGTCATTGGTCCCTAAAAGTACTTGTAAGTCCCATAAATGCAGCATATATTCCAAAATCGTCCCCACAATATGACAAAAACATGGCAACATTTTTTTTTCGAAAACTTGTTGTTGTACCTTAAAAAGTCATGATCGCCTGCAGCCAGGCGGATGTTGTCTAACAGCTGGAGGCTGGCAGATATTGCTACATTCACAGCAGCATCGTGAAGAGCCTGATTGTGTGGCCGACGTTCATCTTTGCTGATGCTTCCCCGAGGAACTACTGTGCTGGTGAAATCAGATGCCCCTCCATGGCTACACTTGCCTGACACCGGAAAGAAGAAGATATAAGGGCTATAACTCAACAAATGTGAGAAGTATCAACAGAGTGGTTAGGCGTTATGTATCAGCTTATCTTGAGGTAAAGACAAAAAAACTGTCTTTTTTAAATATGAAATAAGATAAAGTACATAAAGACAAATATATATAAGTATCACAGATAAAATACAGTGCTGCCCACAATATAGCTACATAGCAAGCCTTAAAGGTAAATTCATATTTCTAATTACAAAGACCCTGTCTGTTGTTTAAAATTTTTAAAACCTCCTTTTGCCAATTGGACACCACTTAGTCTTCTGCTATACTATTTGTGAAGATTACGATCTCTAATTATTATTTTTTTTTTGCAAAATCTCTGTGGATCATCAGCCTTATTCTCTTTTCCTTGTACCTCAACAGGAAAGTTTTCTATAGGATTCAGTGGATGGCAAAGAAAAAGGTTTCTGAATCTGGTGAACCACTTTTATTTGTTAATGCTTTGGGTCATTATCCTGTTGAAAGTCATAATATTACTTAACAGTGAAAGTGGCAGTTTTGAATTTTATCTATCAGAAAACTAGTTTATTTGTGTTTGGACCAAATTGCTCCTGTTAACCTTGTAATGTTAATTTGGGACCCATGGCAGAATATTTTAAAACCAACTGTCACTTATTTGGGTTTTATGTCAGACAGGGACTTTAAATCTGACATAAAGAGATTAGAGCAGATGTTAAATCGTGTTTTCAATCACCTATGGCAGCTAAAACAAACAAAAATCTTTTCTGTAACATGACCCATCTTTGGACCAGGACCTTTTGTTGCAAGAGAACGTTGCTTCAAACTGCACCAACATGAATCCCTCCTACTTTCCAATAAGCAGTTAAGGGGATTTTCTAAACTCTATATAAATTGAGTCCTTTTTTGCAACACAAGGACAATCCCTTTGCATCTTTTCACTGTGGTCAGATTGAAGTATGTCTGTGTATGTGAAAGTTGCTAACAAATACAGTATGTTGTCTTTAGACTTGTTGTTAATATGAGACTATATACCTTTAGGCTTTTCTGAAGAAAAGATTCCCATGTAGCCTGATGTGAGTTTCTTCTCTTTGAGGATGTTGGAGAGGATCTGATTAGAACATGTTCCGCTTGAGCAGTCACTGCAGGTAGGAGTGTTCACATCTACACACACACACACAAATAAACCCAAAAAGTATTGGCTTTTATGCTTATAAATTTTATAGA